TATATTTATGATGAGCTTGAAGGAATACTATATCATTAATATACTACTACACTATCATTATATTATCATATATACCATCCATGCTATAATATCTATTATATAACAACTCCTATTAATTAATATATTATCAATTAATCATATTCACTCTGGAAGTAGGATGGCAATCAGGGACAATGACTAAATATTTAGGAATTTCATTTGACTTTAACAAAATTAGAAAAAAATGACTTAAATAAGTGGACAGTTTCATGCTTTTTTTGTCTGTCTTTTTATACCAGGGTTGGTTGGAGAATCCATATTGTCAAGAATAAACCAGATCCTTCTGTGTTCTCTTTACCTAGGCATCCTTAGGATATACTTGCTCCTTTGTAATCATATGAGAGCTGGATTTGAGTTTTAGAAAGTAAGGGTGAAGGGGAAAGGTACAGATGAACCGAATTATCTTTCTTTCCTCTTCCTGTGACAAAATGTCTTGACGAAAGCATCTTAAGGGAGGAAGGGTGCAGTCCATGATGGTAGAGAAGTCAAAGCTGCAGTAGCTTGAGGCATCTATACACATCTCATCCACAGCGTGGGAGCAGAGAACAATGAACACACATGCTCTATTCACAGTCTCCATTTTCTGTCGTTCAAGTTCCCAGCCCAGTGAACGGTCCCACGCAGCTAAGATGCGTCTCCCCACATCAGTCAACCTAATCAAGTAACCCTACACATTTGCTCTGAGAAACAACCATCAGGCTTTATCCCTCAACGTACTGCTTCCCTTTTCCAAAGGAACATCAGCCCTATCTATCACCACTGTTGGCAGCCACTTCGACCATACTTTGCAGAATATACATTTACTGTTGTTATACAGATATCCCAGTAAATTAGTTTCAGGTGGAAGTGATGAGAAGCAGGTGGGTTTTGTTTGCTTTACTGAAAACATTAATTTATTCAGAATGATGGCAGTAGACAAGCAGTGTTAGCAACTGATCATATGTCCCCATTCTCTCTCTCTCTCCACCTCTCTTCCTATGGAAAAAAAAATCTCACTGTTCTGTACATCCCAGAGCTTGCAATGCTCCTACTTCCGTTTTCTGAATGCTGAGATTAGACGTGGTTTCCACCACACCCATATTCTAGATCTTTGTCAGAGGTGGTCTACAGAGATGTTTAAAAGAACAGCTCTGTAATTTTTTATTGTGACATTAGAAGTACTGTGTCCATCTTTTAAATGATGCATCTGGTATGCAAGTTCATGAAGTTCTTGAAAGTATTGTTACAGGAACATCTTAAGGAAAGTCTCAGGCAAATAGGCCACATGTATATATGTAAATAAATTTTACTTTTCCCTTTTACTGTATGCATAAAGAAACATTCCACTAAAGCATAATGCTCAGATTTTCAAATATAGTTCATTGTATTTTGTGTTTCTATAGGTATTTCACACTTTGTTTTCCATAATGTAACCACTGCTACCTGAAAAATTATCGCTCTATTTAAACAGCTTAGTAATACTATGAATTTAATTTGCTTAAGATTTAGTACAGTTCAAAGCTCTTGAACTCTTAAGAAAAGAAGCCGTTAGGAGCCTAACTTTCCTTTAGAGACCCTCACAGATGGTAGTTCTGCACTTTCTTCCATTTTAAGAAGTATTTCCAAAAGTTATACTCCACTTACATTTCATTTTCAGGAACCAACAGCTACTTCCTTAATCTGCAAGGAATGCTGGGAGATATAGTTTTTATTTAAGCACATTTAAATTCACAACAAAATCAAAATATTGTTTTGGGGCTTCTGTATATTTCATTTTCTTATTTTTGGTGGTGTATGTGGAGGGGGAAGTGTCCCATACCCCAAAAAATGCCTCCACATCTCGAGTGCTCTGATTACAATCATATATGGGCCTCTATGCCTGGCCTAAATCAGGAGATTGTTATTTATAATTAAAATATTATTTATATAAGAAGCTGTGGTGGTTAATCTCAATTGCTACCTTGGTGAGATGTAGAATCACCTGGGAAAGGGGCCTCTGGGCATTCTTACAGGAGATTATTTTATTAGATCAATTGAGATGGTAAGACCAACCTGCTGGATGAAGGGGGTGTAATCATTTCCCAACTTACTGGTCTAGGATTCTGTACTTTATGAAATGGAGGAGTTAGGCATTGGTAGTTTATGCCTTTAATCCCAGCACTTGGGAGAGAGAGGTAAAAGGAGACCTGTGAGTTCGAAGCCAGCCTGTTTTACAAAGCAAATTCCAGGACAGACAGGACTGTTTAAATAGAGAAATTCTGTTTCAGAAAAATCAAAACCATCACCACCACCAAACAACAAAACAAAATAAGAAAAGAAGGAAGTGAGGAGAAAGAACGTGAGCTGAGCACAGGTTTTCATTCATTCATTCCTCCATGCTTCTTGACTGTGTATGCAATGTGACCAGCTTCCTCTAGTTCCTATACTGTGATTTCTTTGTTACAACAAACTGTACTGTAGAACTGAGAGTCAAAATAAACCCTTTCTACCATAAGTTGCTTCTGCCAGCACATTATTTATTTATTTTGAGACAAGGTCTCTTTAAGTAGACTTGACTGGTGTGTGTGAGCGCACACACACGTGCACACATACACACACACATGTATACATACAAATAAAAATGTAATGAAAAAATAAAACTAAAAGAAAAAATAAAAATCTCTAATTTCATCATGGGATTCAGCTCATTACCTTGTCTAATTCTAATTACCTCCCAAAGGTCCAGTCTTTAGTTACTAGTAGCATATATTTGGGAACTGAGTTTTTAGCACATGAATTTTTGGAGGAAACACTCAAGTTATAGCAGCATTATACTTTTCTATTTTAATTCTGGAATACATTACTACCATTGGGATCAATGTCAAGTTCAGGAGCAGTAATGTCATTGTATAACAACTTGCATTCTTGAAAGTAAGGTCATCAAATCTGGACAGATCAATGATTCTTATTTACTAGAAGTATACTTTGGGCCAGTTTCCTGTATGCCTTAATCACCCTTGTTACCACTGATAATTTTTACAGGAAGACTGACATGATAATTTATATCCGGGAGGGAAAACTCATGAGTGAAAGTGAATTCGATGGACTGGAACAAGTGGTGTAAATCAGCAACCACCCCTGGAAGCCTAGAATATGACTGTCTTACTTGTGCTGTTGTATTAAACGAGAAAATACTTAGCATAGAATGTGGTGCATAGTAAGTATTCAGTAAAGGTATTTACTTATTCAGAAGTTCACTTAGGTTAATTTAAATAGTAATACACTAGTATCTTTGTGGTGTGCACGATGGAGCATAAGATGGCTTAGAGTTTTTTTCAAGACTATGAAAAACTCTGAACCAACCAACCTCTTAAAAGGTTGACAGACATTGTAAAAATTCCTATTTATAAGATCATGGAATGACAGTGTGTGAATTATATATCATTTACAAGCTCGAAGGCAACAATCAGGTTCTTATGTTTGTGATTTATTGTAGCATTGGCCCAAAGTCCTCTATACTCTTAAACATTGCTGAAAACTGCAAAGTATTTTTTAAAAAATGTATCTACTGGTATTTTTGCTATCTTAGAAATAAAATTTGAGAAAATTAAACAAACAAATAAACAAACTGATGTCTGCCTGTAACCCCAGGACTTGTGAGACAAAAGTTGGAGGATTGTGAGTTTGAGGCCAGCCTGGCCTTTAAATAGATAAATAAAAGAAAAAAAATCTCATTTATTTAAAGTAACTCTTTTGCTGGGCATATACCTTTAATTCCTGCACCTGAGAAGTGGAAGCAAGTGGATCTCAGTGAGGCCAGACTGGTCTACAAGGATAGCCAAGGCTACATAGAGAAACACCATACAAAAAAAAAGTAACTGTTACAAAACCAAAAGCAATTAGAGTTTAATTACATCCCCCCCCCCTCCACACACACACAAGGTCTCAAGTATCTTAGGCTGGCCTTGAACTTGTTGTGCAGCCAAGGCTGACTTTGAACAACTGATTCTCCTGCTTCTACTTTTTAAGTGCTGGGACTGGGCTTGAAGACCTCTTTTTTTGTTTTGTTTTGTTTTGTGAGACAGGGTTTCTCTGTAGGTTTTGGAGACTGTCTTGGAATTAGCTCTTGTAGGCCAGGCTGACCTCGAACTCACAGAGATATGCCTGTCTCTGCCTCTCGATTGCTGGGATTAAAGGCATGTGCCACCACCCTCGGCTTGAAGACCTCTTTATTGTCCAGTTTAATGCAATTGAAATTTGATTTTTAAGGACATTTTTCATCTTTTATTTGTGTGTGTGTGTGTGTGTGTGTGTGTGTGTGTGTGTGTGTGAGAGAGAGAGAGAGAGAGAGAGAGAGAGAGAGAGAGAGAAATAGCATGTATGAGCCCTCAGAGACCAAAGGAGAGTATTGGATCCCCTGGAACTAAAGATGGGTGCGAGTTACTATGTCAGTTCTGGGATCTGAACCCAGTACCTCTGAAAGACAGGCAAATGCTCTTTTTAAATTCTTTTTTTTTTTTTTAGGCAAATGCTCTTTAATTGCAGAATAATCTCTAGAGTGTCAAATTGCAGTTAACAATACTGTGAAGAAGAAATTTGCTTTAGGAAACATACTTTTAAAACTCAGTTTCCCAGTACTCCCCATTCCTTTCCCCACTCCCGCTGTGTGAAAAAAAGCCCCACTGGTGATCCACTCAGGCGTCATCTCCTAGCTCAATTTCAAACCTTTTTCTTTATCTTCTAGCAAATATCTTTTGTATACTGTGAAGTCTGAGCTTCCATCAGTTTGTGATACACTGACCTCAACTTGATTGAATTACTAAGTGTTTAAGAACTACGAACAAGCGGATGATCTGAATAAATTTGTTAAAGAGTAACAATACGTAACCACTGAGCAGACTGCTTAGTCTCTTTCCAACCCTACCAAAAGCTAATAAGCCATTTAGATATTAATCTAATTATCCTAAATGCCCAGCCTCTAGCTGAAGGGCAATCTTAAGGAGATGCGAAGTGAGGACATTATGTTACTGACAGCCTCACTGGTTTTAGATATAAAGGAAAAAGTACAAAGAAGGGAGTCCCTGGGGTTTTCAGAAATCCTTTGACATTCAACTTATTCTCCAGATTGACTTGAGGTTTTTAAAATGGAACATCAGTGTTGCGGAAGCTCGAAGCCATGATCACCAAGTATATTTTTAGGTTACGATGGGTCCTTGAACTTGGGTGTAAGTGAATCTGGTCAGGCTAACGTCATCTTCACCCTCCGCGGGGAGTCTCGTCTCCTCTCACAGCCGTTCCAATCCCGAGGTTGGGATAAGGAGAGTCGTCAAGGTTCGCCCGGGTCCTGCCGTGACCTTTCACTGCAGGCGAGCGCCGAGCGCCATAGGTGGCGCCGCCGGGTGCGCCTCCAGCGACAGCACAGAGCAGCCCACGCCTCCTCTCCTTTCTTTAACCCCGCTCCTCCGTCCCACCCCTTCCGGAAGCGGGGTGCGCTCCGTCACTTCCGGCGACGGTCATGGTCCCGGCGGGAGCGAGCACGCCGCCGCACAGCGCCTACGTTCCCACCTCCTTCGACGGCGCCACCACTCCCTGTCCGCGTTCCTGAACGTGACGGGCGTGCGCGCCGCCGGCCTAGCGTCGGGCTTCGGGGAAAGGCCGGAGGAGCGCGGCGAGGGGGTGGCGCGGGTGAGGCCCCGACAGACAGGCGCCGCCCCCGAACGAGGGGAGAACGCAGGCGCTGTGCGGCGGCGTGCTCGCTCCCGCCGGGACC